ATTGTATGTCTTAAGTAATTTAGTTTATAAACTTTTCCTCAAGTTGAGTTAGGATATTATCATTCATATAATGTATTTCATCTGACTGACTCATATAATGCTCTGTAACTGCATATATCACTAAGAAAGAAAAAATGCCTACAATAGTGGGGAATCTGATAGGATTGTACAGCAGGATTGTACAGCAGGGACCCCAAAGGATCACATCCTTTTTATGAAGGTAAACACAGATAAAGTCACCAGCACAGAAAAAGACAGCAGGAAGAGAGAACTATCTAAGGTGATTTCTCTAGACTCATTCATTAAGGTGATACTTTAGTTCTGAATGAGATATAGCTTCTAGTGTAAAAGCATGGAAAAAATCGTCCCCGACACACAAGGATGAACTATCCGGTAAAGGGTATAAAATAGGAACAATGATAGAGAGTATAGTTGACTATAAATAGTAAACTGTATACTTTGAACAAGTATTATTCATAGAAGGATTGTCAAATATATGTATCATCTATGTTTTAAATCAGTTCTAGATAAAGAAGTTCTATTTTAATTGAAAATAGCTAGTATTTTATAAGTGTGAATGTGGTAGCACCTTGGGTATACATTGTAGAATGCGTTGATGCTGTTAGAAAATGTAGTTTTCTCAATGATAGAAAATGAATAGTGGACTGTAAAACATTAGCATCTATGCCTATTACTATAGAGTTAATTATTTCTATTTTTTCCCACTAGGTGGAGAATTTTACCGTGTCTTTCTCAGATGGCCGAGTGTTATGTTACTTGATCCACCACTACCACCCTTGCTATGTGCCTTTGGAGGCGATCTGTCAGCGCACTACGCAGACTGTGGAGTGCACGCACACTGGCTCAGTGGTGTTAAACTCATCCTCGGACTCTGATGCTAGTTTTCTGGATGTGTCTCCTAAAGCATTTGATCCTGGTTAGTTCCTTTTTGTTGACAGGTTTTTTTGTTGGTTTTGCTATGTCTCATTTCTCTCCCTTTGCTATGTCTAATTTCTCTCTCTCTCTTTCTCTGCCACTTGCATAACAGAAAATGCTTCAGCGTTACACAAAGAGCTCTTGGAAAATGAAAAGAAAAATTTTCAGCTGATCAGCTCTGCAGTTAGAGATCTTGGTGGAATACCTACTATGATTCATCATTCGGATATGTCAAATACAATTCCAGATGAAAAGGTAAGTGAAGGGTTTTTTTGGTTTATGTTTTCTTCTAACCAACAGTGTCTCAGAAAATGTTAGTATATTAGGCTTTGGGTTCTCTCTTGTTCTTCTGTGTTCATCTTTTATGTTTTCTCGTAGGTGGTTATTACCTATTTGTCATTTCTCTGTGCAAGACTTTTGGATCTTCGTAAAGAAATAAGAGCGGCACGACTTATACAAACAACTTGGAGAAAATACAAACTGAAAACAGATCTGAAACGCCATCAGGTACTCCTAAAAACTGCAAACACTGTACTGTGAACTTTACTTCAGAAA